CAGCTACTATTTTGTACTTGCTCCCCTGAGGACAGTAAGAAGGAGAAATCTTTCTATCTCCTAAGTTGTGGAATTGCTTCCCTGCATAGTTCTTCTGCAAGATATGAATAGTGTGAGCAAGGAGAGATCCTTACATCCTCCTGTCCATTTGTAAATCCAAGTTAAGGCATATTGCAACACTGCTTACGGTAAAATACATAGTTTTAGGGTGACTATTTCCTCTTTTCACTGGGACAGTCCTGGTCTAAACACCCGTCTCTTTTGTTCAAACACTTCTGTACCATTTTCAGTGGGATGTTGCAGACAGGTGTTTAATGAGGGACTGCCCCAACAAAATATGCACTGTTTCACATATACAGACAAGGTTCTTTGGGTAGATGCGATATCTTTTATTAGACCAACTAAATAGTTGGAAAAAAGTGTTCTTTGCAAGCTTTCGGGCACAAATGCCCTTCTTCAGACATATGGAAAGTCTGTTGGTCTTTGTGTGCTTTCACATATACACATACACATGCACACACAGACACAATCCTCTGTCCAGTACTCTGCATTCCCCCAAATACATACTCTAGAGCACACTCAGCTGAGACCAGAGCTTGGAGACAACTGAGTGTGCCAGAGAGCTGATGAAACAGAATGTCTCATTTTGAGACTCGGGAAATATGGTCACCCTACATATTTTAGAATGTACTCCATTCTACTGGAGTCTACTTGATCATTTTATGATGCATCACACTGAATATTCCTTAACTACCCAAAACAATGGGACAGCTATATGAAAAAAAAAAAATCAATACGTCAATATTTTCATCAGATTGGGCATAACAGTTTCCTGAAAGTAACTACCATAAGGTACAGGACTGGAAGGGACCTTCTGGGTCATTTAGTCCTCTGTGGTTGCAGGCAACCATATGATAAACATTTTTTCAAAGAGACCACAACATCCATCCAGCCCCTTCTTCGCACCACAGGCACAAAGTACCCCTTCCCCCACCAACAATGTTAGGATTTTTAGTGCCAAAAAATGGGCTAAACAGTGGACTAAAGGAAGACAGGAAAGACAAATGGTGGTTTTCCAGCCACCGTTTTGGAAAGCCATTGGAATGTTAACACACATACGTACTTGCAGCACGCCTCTCCAACAATGTTATTAATCCCATAGCCACTACATTAATATTCCAGAATGAGTGTTGCTTGATATACCAGCTGCCTTCCCTAGTACTCCATGTTATTTCAGTGGAATGCTGATATGTCAAATGTTCAGCCTTGCACCATAGATGCTAGAGCAGAGCAGTAGGATCAGCTGTGAAACTAGGGGCCAGATTCTGAATTTTTGGCTAACCAAAATTCCCATTTAAGACAACGAGAGTGTTGGGTGCAGTCAAATGCTCACAGCCACAGAGGTGATCCTATGACAGCTGCCAAGAAATAATCTTTACCCACTCACCCCCACTCCTCATATACCACATACTGAAAAAAAAATGCATGTGGTTGCTGTTAGAGCAGTCCTGGAAGCACACCCCAGGCAGAGAATCTGAGAGCCACCCTGGGCAAGTTCCAAAAATGCAACCAGACTGTATTTTATGCAAGCAGCATGTGCAGAACAGGAGATTGGGTTGGGCTGGTTTCTCAGAGGTGGTCTCAGGATTGCTACAGAAGAGGTGTAGGCATACCTTATATTCCAAAATTAGGGCTAGCTATTCAGATATTCAAATATAATGAGGATAACTGACATCAAATATCAATTCCAAGATGGGTATGTATCTCCGTAACATAAAAAAAAAACAGTTTTAGAGGCACTTCTTAATAAAACTGGGTCCACAGATTGTAGAAGAAAAAGCAGAGGGTGGGAGCCACAGGCTTCTGAGTTCTAACAGCAACTCTGCCAGTTCTTTCTGGTGATATTGGGCAGTTATGGCATCTATGCCAGAATGTATTCAAATTTTGAGTATGATAATTGAGTTATTTTGGTACAAGATGTCAAGGGGTGGAGTATTCACAACTTTCTTTGACTTCAGCTAGAGTGGGTGATGCCCAATACATCTGAAAATCATGCCAACAATCTTTGGAGAGTTTTAATCATAGAAAATGAGGGTTGGAAGGGACCTCAGGAAGTAATCTAGTCCAAGCCCCTGCTCAAAGCAGGACCAGCCACAACTAGATCATCCTAGTCAAAGCTTTGTCTAACCCTGTCTTGAAAACCGCCAAGGATGGAGCTTCCACCACCTCTCTGGGTAACCTGTTCCAGTGTTTTATTACACTCCTAGTGAGAAAATTCTTCCCAATATCTAACCTAAACTTCCCTTGTTGCAACTTAAGACCATTGCTCCTTGTTCTGTCATCTGCCACCACTGAGAACAGCCTAGCTCCATCCATCCTCTTTCGAACCCTCGTTCAGGTAGTTGAAGGCTGCAATTAAATCCCCACTCAGTCTTCTCATCTTTAGATTAAATAAACACAGTTCCCTCAGCCTCTCCTCATAAGTCATGTCCCCCAGACCCACCATTTTTGTTGCACTCCACTGGACTCTCTCCACTTTGTCCACATCCTTTCTGTAGTGGGGGGCCCAAAACTGAACACAGTACTCCAGATGTAGCCTCACCAGTGCTGAATAGAGGGGAATAATCATTTCCCTGGACCTACTGGCAACACACTGTCAATGCCCTGTCTGTCCAGGGGCTATTTACCTACCTCATGGGTTTTCTGAGATTCGTAAATGTTTGCGGACCTTGTAAATAGCGGGATGTTCTTAAACATTTAAAAGGTTTTCCAAGGTAGAATTACATTGCCAGAATGAAGTAACATACTTGTGAAAACTGAAGGCCAATGATTTTGGACTGATAACTTGATTTGCCAGGCCTCCAGCAATGAAGTTAACTGCTTGAAAGACCTTAAATATAAAAAGCCTAAAATAAACCAAACCACATTTTTGGACTCATTAGTTGACCCAAATTCAAAGACTTAAGATATAATGCACTGACATTTTTATGGCAATTTATTTTGCAAACTTACTGTCTTTACACTTTGACCATCATGATTATCTGTAATGAAGTCATTCTCAATCACTTTCAGTTTATGAATACTAGATTTTGAAGCCTGCCAAAAAAAGAGCTAGTATGGTTACCATGAAGCATAATTAAAATAAGACTTAAAATCCCAAAGTATCTGCAATTTTAAGGAGGCAGAAGAGCTACATTATAAGTGAGGCAGACACATTGCCTGACTGTGAAATACATGTTCAAGAGTATATATACATTTTAAGTGCTTGAGTTCATAACAAAGTCAACCCTCTCCCCCCTATCCCAACTCTAAATGGCATAAATTCAATTCTGAAAATGTTTTACCCAAGTAAAACATTGGGTAAATGTTTTTTACTGGTGAGGGGGCGGGGACAGAGGCACGGGGCCTGCATTGGTGAGGTCAACCAGCTCTTACGCAGCTGGTGCCGCTGGGCAGGCCTTGGGTTCCTTGACAACGACCCATGCTTTCGGGAGGGGGGATTGCTGGGGCGGGATGGGCTTCATCTCTCCCCTAATGGCAAGCGTGTCTTCTCTTCCAGGTTGGCTGATCTCGTACGGCGAGCTTTAAACTAGACTCGCCGGGGGAGGGGGCTGCAGGAAGACGAGGAGACGCCATCAGGGCAAGGGGTGCAAAGGTAAGTAACAGGGGTCCTGATGGTCTGGCTAATCAGGGGGTGGGGGGGCACACAGTCTTGCAAGGCCTTAAATGCCTGTACACCAATGCTCGTAGCATGGGGAACAAACAGGAGGAACTCGCCCTCAGAATAGCTAGTTCAAATCCAGATGTCGTAGGGTTAACAGAGACATGGTGGGACTCATCCCATGACTGGGCAGTTAACATTAGGGGCTATAGGCTGTACAGGCGGGATAGAGAAGGCAGAAAAGGCGGGGGG